AAAAAAAAAAAAAAAAAGAATCCACTGGGTGGGGCACAGTCTGCCACGGGGTGCCCCGGGGTGGGGGACCTCTCCCGGTCCTGAAGATGTTGCCTTCCCGTCTGGCCCACTCCGGATGACACTGGGAGCCCGGGAGGTGTGCCCTGGCATGATTTTACTTTTGAGAAGTGCGGCTGGGCTTCTTTTCGATTCTTTTCACTTCTCAGACATTGCCTTTGTCTTGATTTAAGTAACGTCCACCCTACCCTCCAGGCCAGCACCGCCCACGACCACCACTCTCAGACCTGTGCCCATATGCTCACCTCCTCTCTGCAGACGATGTGGCATGTGCTATCTGTGCCTGGAAGCTGGGTTATCCTAACAAGTCCTCAAATATTCCCTATCTGTACCTCTTTAACCAGAAAACACTAAACATGTTGTTTTCTCATTGCAGTTGCAGGTGAACCTGCTGTCCAAATTCCTGCTGATTGCGAAGTCTTGCTATGAGCAGCGCAACTTTGCAACAGCCATGCAGATCCTTGGCGGGCTAGAGCACCTGGCCGTGAGGCAGTCCCCTGTGCGTCCCGGGTCGGGAGCCACGGGTGGGTGTAGTACAGCCTCAGGGGTCTCACCTGAGCTTCCATTTCAGGCCTGGAGAGTTCTACCTGCAAAGATAGCGGAGGTCATGGAGGAGCTGAAGGCTGTGGAGGTACCAGCACTTTATGTGAGCTTCCATCCACCTAGGGAGCCTGCAGTGTGTACCCCAACATAGGCACCCACAGAGCTGGCCAGTGCAGCCAAGCTGTGAGACCCTCCAGCCATCTCCTGGCAGGGCCTCTGCTGCCCACCAGGACAGAGTTACTCCACCTGCTGGGTCACACAACCTCACTGGTCCGACTTCCTCACACAGCCTGCCGGTGCCCAGAGGATGGACTGAGGCCTGCGGCAGGAGCCTGAGTCTGATCCATTGAGAGGCCTCCTCCTGCAGTTGCAGAGGTGGCCTCAAAATATAATAAACGAGCAAATGTGCTTGAAGTGGCTGGTCACTTCCCAAAACGAGGTGGCAGGAGTCCTGGAGCAGCCACGACCTGGCCCTGTCCCGGAGTTCAGAGCCCGGCCTCAGCCCCCAGCCATAGCTCTCCACGCGGGGGGGGGGGGGGTTAGTGCGTGTCCTCACTGGACGCACAGACATGGGGCCCTTGCTGCTGGTCAGCCAGGGTCTCTTGGGAAAGGTGGGCGGCCTGGCTCGTTCCTGGAGCCCGGCAGCGTCAGAACGGGACTCACCTTTTCGGTAGTAGGAAGCGAGGAGCCCCCCAACAGCCAGGGGCGTCTGTGCGCCAGCGGGTCTGTGTGCCCCTCACCCAAGGCACACTTCGGACTGGGAGCCGCATCCAAGAGTGGTGTGGCCCCGGGCATGGGGAATACGGGCCTCGCGGGGATGGGCCAGGCTAAGCCTCTGTCCTCTCTCTCCCCGGTCCACGCCCCTGGCGGGCCGCTAGGTCTTCCTGAAGAGCGACAGCCTGTGTCTCATGGAAGGACGGCGCTCCCGGGCCCAGCCCACTCTGCCTTCAGCCCACCTCCTGGCCATGCATGTCCAGCAGCTGGAGACGGGGGGCTTCACGATGACCAACGGGGCCCACCGGTGGAGCAAGCTCAGGTGAGGCGGCCCAGCCGGGGTGGGCCAGGTGGAGCGGGCTCTGGTAAGGAGGGGCCCAGGTGGCCACAAGCTCAGGCGGGGCGAGGCAGGATCAGTGAGGAGGGGTCCGGGTGACCACACGCCCAGGGGCCGGCCGGCGCAGTGGCCCGCCTCCTCCTGTGTCTTCAGGGGCCTGACACCACCTCCTGCTCAGCCCTGAGCCCTGCCTCTACCCCAGCAACCTCCCGCTCCCTCCTTCTCTGCAAACTTAGTGTTTCCTGCCCTTTTGGCATCTATGGTCCCACAGTGCTCCCCAAGGTCTCTGGTGACCCACGTTGCAATACAGGCATGCCCCCCCTGGTCATGTCTGCAGCACCAGCGTGAACCCTCCCCAGCCCGGGTGCCACCAGGCTCCCTGCTCCCCCCCAGACCCATCCCTAGAGACATCCATACAAGACCAGCGCTTAGTGCTCAGCCCGTCCCTGCGGTCGCACTTCCACCTGCCCGGCATACCCGGGACCTTGGGCTTGGGACTAGTTGTAAAACCCACCACCATGACCCACCAAGGGCTGGCACGCCCAGGCTGGCCTCTCCTCAAAGGCCTAGGCCTGTGTCTGCAGTGCCCGTTGGGCACCCACAGCCTGCAGAAGCTCCTTCAGGCTTGCCTTTCCTCTCCATCGCTCACACGGCAGCCAGTGGAGGCTGACCGTGCTGGCTACCCCATCCTCCAGGGTAGATGGCCTCACTTGGTGAGGGAGGCGCAGCAGGCCTGGGCCCCAGTGGTCCCCAGCCTTCTTAGACGGGCAACAACTTGGAAATAATTGCAGCCGGGCTGGGTGGTTCAGCCTGTAACCCCGCGCCTTTGGGAGGCTGGGGTGAGTGGATTGCCTGAGCCCGCGGG